GCCCCACTTCTCTTCCCCTCTGAACTGGGGGTGATGAAGCTAATCTACCTGTAAAACAGCACTTTCAGATGCTTAGATGACAGGTGCTGTCTATTTATTTACTACCCTTGTGTTTCCTGTGGTGTCTGAGCCAGAGCATAAGTCCCAGCGGCAAGGTGCTTGAGGGACAATTTGTTTTTTCTTGGTTACTTTAAACTAATTTAATAACTTATTTATTTTTGTCTCCTAGCAGGACCCAGAGACTCCTGTTAGAATCAGGGCCTGACTGTGCTAGGAGCTGTTCAGGTGCACTGATGCAAAGCGCTTACGGTGTCTCCTTCCCCACTTCACTTCTGGCAGTTTAGAAACAAAAAATAATGTACAACCTGCTCCTGTTTCACAGAGATGGTCCATTCCACTGACAGTCTGCAGAGCTGGGACCTGATCCTGATCTGGGTTCCCTGGGTGTAAATAGGGCATCGCCTTCAGTGGAGTCGTCCTGGATCTGACCCAGCATCTTTGAAGCCACAACCAGGCTCCCCCTGTGGCTGTCAGACTGGCTGCCCTGCAGATTGGACCAGGTGAAGGGATTTGTCAAAATGGAAACTTCTAACCCCAGGTCCCGCAGGAAGGTTTCCTTGTTGGGGGTTCTGCCCTGTCCACTCCATCCCCTCAGAAGAGGCAGTAAGCTGGCAATGAGGGCCCTTGTTGGGCCCTACTGGTGTTCGAGTCTGGTCAGATGATGGACTTGAAACTGGGTTTCCTGCATCTCAAGTGAATGCATTACAGGGAATCCATGTCTGTCTCCCAGTCTGTCCTGCCAGAGCTGTTCTGCTGGCATCACTCATTGGGCCAGAGAGAGAGTCTCTATAGCTAGATGCTTACTGATGTGGGAGACCCAAGTCCAAATCCCTATTGCAGCAAGTCCACTTGGCATTTGTGGTAGCAGGAGAAAATGGGAGAGACCGTCCTTTGTACAAGCAGCAGACTGACGGTGCTGCCCTGACAGGTGTGCGCCTGGGCTGACTTGCACAAAGTAAGTCCTTGGGCCTGGGCTGGTCCCTCACATTTTGGGGTAGGGGCTACGACCACGATCAGCTGTTTTTTCTGAGGACAAGTCACTGATTTATTGAAGGGGCCAGTTCATCCTGAGGTGGAATGGGTGAAAAAATTCCCCAAGGCTGCTAAAGCCATTTGAGGCAGGGATGTGGTGCTGCACCCAGCCTGTGTGACCGGCTGCAGCATCTTCCTCTGCTTGTAGATGATTAGCACAGGGGGTTAGGAAGGTTGCCTGAGTTATGCTTCCAACTCTGTCTCTGGCTTTGGGCATGTTGTGTTACCTCTTTGCCTCAGTTTACCCATCTGTAAAACGGGGCTATTGACCTACCTCATGGGGTGTTCTCATTAACAAAGCACTTTCCCCACCTTTTGTTAAGGGCTTGTAGAATCAGTCGGGCAGCGCTGTTAAATGCAGAATATTGTTACTGTGATTTGAGCCCTTCTCGCCATGGTATAAGCTGTGGACTGGGATTAGAACTAAACTCTCTGACTTTGATATATTGCTTCTCAGCTTCTGGCTTACTCCAGGCATAGAAGTGCAGGTCATGAGATGCTACTGAACAGCGTGTGCAGGAAGGACCAGCTGCTGTGGGGAATGAGATATCCCTTGGGGCCAGTCCTACAGTATGCTTTCAGGCAGCATTCCCAGTTTGAAATGAAAAGGAAAGGGTCAGGGGTGGGAGGTGTTGGCCAGGTTAATCCAAAGTCTCCACCTTTTCCTGTGGTGGGCCGGATCCTGCAGAACTCCCCTCAGAGTTTGTGGAGTTGACATGCAGGGAGGGCTTTCTGCACAGTAGGCCCAGAAGACAGCTGAGTCTGGCATCCTCTTAAGTGCAGTCCTCTAATCACGGGTCACCAAGGGTTCCCTGAGCAGACCTGATCCAATTTTCAAAGGCGCTTGTGTGCAGTCGCATGCACAAGTATTGCCATCACAGCTGGTCAGGTAAGCTTGGGAGTGCAGGTGTAGTCCATGCAGGTGCCAGTTAGCTATGCCACTTACAGGAGCTGTTGCTTGCTTAGAAATGTATATGCTTCCGTGGCCACGGGGTTCGTTTCCTCGTGCTAATGAAAAGCCAAAGGAGATCTTGTTGCAGATTGCAGAGCTGCTGCTGAGAACATGAAACAAGGGTGCTGAAAGGAAAGGTGTCACTAGCAATGGCTTTGGACACAGGGGCCAGCAAGCCTTCCTGAGACAAGGTGTCACACTGGTGATGAGCACCAGTACAGATCAAATCCGAGAGAACAAAAAGGTACGTTGCCAGTGGAGGTGGGGAGATGCCATCCTAAATTCTGTTGAGCCTGAGAGAGAACCCCTAATGTCTGTAAGCAGCAGGAAATGGGGCACCGTGGGACTCATTGAAAGGGGACCATGAAATACTAACCTGCGTTGGAATTACTGTGTAATGATTATTAACATTCCACCTGTGTATGGTGTAGATGCTTTGTATTACATTTTATAAAATAAAGATACTTTAACTATACAAGGGGCTTGGCCTCTCTTGGGTTGAATGCTGCTTCTTTTAAAAGGCAAATGCTGATTAGCAGGGGGACAGTACAGATTTGAGCAGGGGTGGGCAAGGCACTTGGAAGGAGCTGGGCTGCTTTGTGCTCTGCTGCTGACTTGCTGCACTTCTCTGTACCTTCATGGTTGATGTCAGAGCTCATTAGGGTCACTGGCCAACTAGACAGGGCACAGCTGTTACATACCTCTTTAAACATTTTACAGGCAACACTCCTGCATTGTTAGGAATGGTGAAAGTCAGTCGCAAGTCCCAGGCAAACCTGAATAGCTAAAAAAAACATTTTCCCTTGTCTTCAGTGCCCACAGTATCAGCAGGAGCTCTCCTGTCGTAGCCTGGAGATGGACCACTTATCCCATGTGTAGTCGCATATCAGCCTGAGGAGCTGCTATTTTGGAAAGTTACATCAGGCAAATAAGGCATCCAGGTTGTAGCCATATGGGTCTAGAGGAAAAAGCAATCAGGACTTGTAGTAGAGATGATATCTTTTATTAGACCAACAAGATTTTTGCAAAAAAAAAAATTCTTTAATTGCAATCTTTCGGGCACAAACACCCTTCATCAGACATTGGAAAAAAGATTGTAAATAATGTTTTAGCACTTTCAGTGTGGCTCTGCATCTGGAAACAAGGGGTGGAGGCTGCCTCCTGGGACCAGCCAAGCTATCTGCAAGCCACTGGTGAGTGCACCCCAAACTGCCCTTTTAAGAATCAGCGCTGCAAGTCCTTCCAGCCTCTGAAGTTCTGCTTCAGAAGGTTCATCGTGAAATAGGAGGCCAAGGAAAAGGTTCACAACAGTCTGCTATTAACTTCCGATTTGCATTGCAGGGATGCAGAGCTACACCATGTACAGATGAGGACACTTGTTTCAGGTACTGTATGTAGAAGAAAAACATGGGTCCTACCCACTGACCCTATGGTCTAAGCAACCCAGGCAGGCAAGTACCTTTTTGTTAGGCAGCAAAATCAAGTCAGGAATCGAGATCTGGTACCAGTCTCAGTATATTGACAGTGTAACTGGTGATACCTGCCAGCTCAGGAAAAAGACCAGGGCTCCAAAGCTACTGCTGCCACCCACAGTATCGTTGTCCACCTCTGCTAGCGAAGGGGAAGATTCTGGTGCTTACCACACTCCAGCAGCATATGGATGCTGCCAGGAAGATGCAAATTGCAATAGGTCCCATGTAAGTAGACGTGCACTTTGGACACCAAGGGACTGGATACTCGTAACCGAGTACTGTGCAGCCCCTAGCCAGCTTCGCTATATGGTAGTCCAGTCCCCAGAACTGGCCTGACTTATGCTGCAAGCTGTTTCAGACCTCATTCGAATCTGAAAGGTGTAGAGAAGCTTTAAACTTCTCCATCTGGGCTGGTTCTTCTGTGTAGCACCTCTTGAGAGAGAGTGTGAGAGCTAGCCCTAAGTGGATCGGCAAACATGCAAGCACATGATGGATCTTGTAAAGGGGAAATGTCTTTCCGCTTCTTTCTTCTGAGAGAGAATCCTCTCCCCACTGCCCCCAAATCACAGCTTGATCCTGGAATAATAATTACTATATGCATCTTAACCTTCCCTTTCAGTTCTCCAGCTTTCTTTCCTAACCAGATCCCTTGCTTGGAAGTTAAGAGATTGGTATTTTATAATATTTGATGCTTTGTTGCCTTGCATCAGCAGCCCAGTTACTAGTGAAAAAGCATCAGGTTTTTAAGTCTTTGGAGTCTAGACTAATACCAGCGCTGTCAGGGGGTCTGTTTCTAGATGTGAAAGATGAGAGTGTTTTAAGCTTTGTGAAAGTCCTGAATGTGTTTCTGATCCTTCCATACTTTGCAATTTTATTTCCAGCCAAGCAACACAAAGTCTGTTGCCATTTCCAATGAAGAGAGAGCAAGGAGCCGTCTGCTTTGGCCTGGTGTTACATTAGCAATTTCTGGGCAGGCAGGAGCTCTTTTGTGATTATCCCAAAATACTGGCACCTTTTTCCTCCCAAACCATATTGGTCAAATGTTCCAGTGGATTAGCTTTGGCCAAGGGGTTGCTCTGGATGGGCCCAGTCCTGCTTTTGATCTAGTAGCCACAGTTTGGGACCAGAAGTAAAGAGTTTCCAGAAGTGATTTGAGCAGGTCTGTATTTAAGGTGAACAAGAAATGCTTGAAAGGAAGAAAACATTTTCTATTTGAAATGAATCCAGGTGAAGAAGAGAGATTGCCAGTTTGTCACCTCCAGTTTCTCAAGTTACAGCTTTTGCAACTATTTTCCCCATGAAGCGGTGTTCAAACGAATCCTTCAGCCCATCTTGAAGTTCTTATACAAGAACAGAAACAACATTATTTTTCAGCTTTTCACTTTTTACCTCCCAACGTCCCACAGCAAACCAGCACGCTCATCATTCCTTTCAGGATGTTGATGCTAAAAGAAAGCAAAAAAGAAG